TTTCTGGCCATTTCCGTGGTCCAGATAATTTATGGAAAAGTCTACTAAATTTTTCCCCGCATTCTAACTTTTCCCTTTCCCATCCATGGAAATTGAAAGGCATTTTGTCCCATATTTTCTCTTTCGATACTCGGATGTGATTGGATTTGATTTTTGTCTGTAAATCTACACTCAAAGAAAATTGCCCGTTCAATCGGAGCATCCATTCAATCACAGCTTTTTAAACTCTTATATTATTTACAGTTTAGCTGGCAATTAAACAAAATCATCAACAAACAATCATAATTGGCTCAATTAAATTAATTCATTTGCAGCTGAGTCCATCCATTGACCTCCATTCATCAATCCAACCATTCAAGCCATGTGATTTTCTTTGAGCGAATTGGAAAAAAAAACAATCTATGACGACTGCAGATGAAAAATGCCATTAAAGTAGAGCAGGGCAGCGGGCAGCAGCGGGTAAAATGCAATATCTTTTGTATCAAACATGCACAAACATGCATAGCAGGCAAACAAAAACAAAATTTAAATTAACCCAACCAATGACCTGGAAAGATACATAGCAGCCATAGCTTCAATGGGGGGTGGGGGTTTGGAGGAAAGAGAATGAGGGACTGGGGATTCACCTGCCACATGAGTCAGTGGCTTTCAATGGCCACCTTTGACCCCCTAACCTGCCAAAACGAGGCAAAGTCCGCCTGTTCTCTAGCAAAGCATCCTCCTCCTCATCATCAGACTTTCCAAAGCATTTTGTGGGCTAAAAGGCCGTACAAGGTTACATTACCTTTTGTTCAATGCGATTTTCTTTCTCCCTCTCTGCTTTGCTTTTCAATTTTAATTGGAAATGGTGTAGAATGAATGATTCCTCAAGCAGGCAGGTAGCCAGCCAGTCAGTCACTGGCAACATAATTGAGTAGCTGCTGACCGACCAGAAGCTTCACAGCCGAGTTACGGTTCACTGCATATCTCTCTCTCTACTCCTGTCCTCCTGTCCTCCTTCCACCTTTATCTTGCCACATTTTTATTCATGATTATGGCCATGTTTGCCATTTGATTAGCAGCAGCAGCAGCCAACCATTTAAATAAAGTTTTATTTTAACAGCTTTTTTTTAACTGAGCCGATTGTTTGTTTGTTAGCTTTTTAACAGCAACAACAACAACAACACCAACAACAAACTTCTGCCATTGATATTGTTTGACCAACAAAAACCCTATGTGGAGCAGCAGATATTTTTAGACTTTTGCAATTCTTTTCCATTTTTCTTTTTTTTTTTGAAACAAATGAAAAGCAAGAAAAACGAGAGCATAAAAAGGAAATGAAGGAAAAGCCTACTGTTGTTGTTGTTGTTGGTTTAATAAACTTTAATTATCATCCATTTCACTTCATATTTGTCCCAGAAGCTACCTGGCCACTTGGCTACCACTGGCCCACACCATTTGGCAAACAATGTTGCCAGAGATACACACACACGCACGCTAACGCACAGATACTGGTATCTGAAAAATGGCTAAATGACAATTTAATCAGGTGGGCTGTGAGGCTACTACAAAGAAGATATCAACACAGCAGGGAAAAATGGACGATGGAAGAGTAGTAGCTCTTCTATAGTCCATAGAAGAGCTAGAGCTCTTCTATAGTCGCTAGAAGAGCTAGAGCTCTTCTATAATCGCCAGAAGAGCTAGAGCTCTTCTATAGTCGCTAGAAGAGATAGAGCTCTTCTATAGTCGCTAGAAGAGCTAGAGCTCTTCTATAGTCGCTAGAAGAGCTAGAGCTCTTCTATAGTCGCTAGAAGAGCTAGAGCTCTTCTATAGTCGCTAGAAGAGCTAGAGCTCTTCCAAAGTCCATAGAAGAGCCATAGCTCTTCTAAAGTCCATAGAAGAGCTGGAGCTCTTCTATAGTCCATATAAGAGCTGGAGCTCTTCTATAGTCAATATAAAAGCTGGAGCTCTTTTATAGTCCATATAAGAACTGGAGCTCTTTTATAGTCCTTATATGGAGCTATAAGAGCTGGAGCTCTTCTGTAGTTCCTAGAAGAGCTAGAGCTCTTCTATAGTCCAAAGAAGAGCTGGAGCTCTTCTATAGTCCAAAGAAGAGCTGGAGCTCTTCTATAGTCCAAAGAAGAGCTGGAGCTCTTCCATAGTCCAAAGAAGAGCTGGAGCTCTTCTATAGTCCGCTGTATCCTTCAAAGAGATCGAACGCACTGTCGGTACGCACGTTAAATAAAGCAATTTTCTCTGCAAATCATTTAATCCAATTAATCAAAAAGCAAACAATTTCCAAGTCTTTTTTTACCTATTGGTTTTTTTAGTGAATTATTTAGTAAAGTAATAATAAAAATGTCGGTAACCGAGGAACAAATTAAAAATATTTGTGGACAATGTTTGTTGGAAATCAAAAGCAATTTTTTTGTTCGATGTTATTACTGTAATGGGCAATATCATTTTTCTCCTTGCTGTTCACTCTCTGAGAGCTCATATAAAAGCATGAGCCATACGAAAAGAGTAGGATGGAGATGTCAAAAGTGTACATCAAAATCTCCCAACATTGGATATTTGGTTTTACCAAGTGAAAATGAGCACCATCAACATAACTCTGGCAGTCAACAAAGCAAACAGCAAAGAACCGAGAGTGATGAAGCTAACTGTAGCAAGAGATTTAAAAACAATAATACACCAACATCCTCCTTAAATAAAAACTACGAAAGCTTATCACAAAACAGAGACATAGAAGAGTTTAAAATCGGTTTCGTTAAGCTAGAAAATTGCATAAAACAACTCACGGAGAGTATTACAACAATGAGTACGAAATTGGATGAAACGAGAGAAGATATGAACAAGAATGTATCAACACTAACAACACAAATACTCGACTTGTATGAGAGAGATAGAGAGAGAAGCGAACAAATTCAGAAATTAAATGAGAAAGATCAAGAAAGATGTGCACAAATTCAGATACTCAACCAGAGAATAGAAAAGTTAGAACAAAAAGCGATAAACAAAAACATTGAAATAAGCAACGTTAAAAACATGAATATCGAGGTCAGTGAACTGGTAGCCAAAATTGTTGAGAAAACGGGAGTGCAAATTTGCAACTCCGATATTGAGAGAACTGTGAAGATAGATAAAAAGAACAAAATAATTATAGAGTTCTCATCGATAAGTAAAAAACGAGAGGTAATGAAAAAAATAAACAGGCACCGACTGCAAGTATGCCAAGGAGTTGATGAAGGTGGAATTGAAAATACTATATTTCTAAATGATGAGTTAACTCCACACAACAGGCGCTTGCTTTGGATGACCAAAACTAGAGCAAAGGAGTGTAAATGGAAATTTGTTTGGGTTCGAAACGGATGTATTTATGCTCGAAAGAATGAAAATTCTCGATTTATTTTGATAATTATTTTGATTATTTTGATTTGGAAAGTATAAGCGAAACAATGTAAGTTTTTCACAGTTTACCCCACAAATTTTTGCACAACGAAAAGAAAGAGCCTATCAAAGAGAAAGCACCAAATTAAATGCTGATAAAACTAGAATATTAAAAGACTGAATTAATAAAAAACACAATAAATATACAAATTTAAATTTGTTTCTTTAATTTCGTAAAATATTTGGATTTTATATTAAAAAAAAAACAATGAATTTTATAAAAGATACAATCTGCAATTTCAATGAAATAAATGCTAAATATATAAATTTCTCTGTGTCTATGATACATATGAATATAAGATCTCTCAGAAAAAATTTCTTGACTTTTTTAGCCAACATTTCCAAAATAATAAACAAATTACATCTGATAGTTCTTTGTGAAACAAACATAACAGATGATGAGAATTCGTTCTATAATATAGATGGATTTAATTCCATATTTTTAAACAGAGCTGTTAAAGGAGGAGGAATTGCTGTGTATATTAAAGACACTATGCAATTTAAAAATTTGAACACAAACATGTCATCGTCTGAAATTGGAAGGATAAACATTACGGATAACAAAGATTCAAGTTTCACAGTATTGGCGATATATAGACCTCCAAACAAAAGCACAACTTTATTCTTGCTCGAACTTGAACAAATTCTAATAAATATTGGTAACAAAGAAAAACTAATATTAATAGGCGATATTAATATCGATATCCTTAAAAAAAATTCAATAACGTCAAAATATCTTGGCATTCTGTCAACAAATGGATTGAAATGTATGATATCTAACCCAACAAGAGAAGACGAAACGCGAACTACAAAAACATGCATAGATCACATCACAATCAGATGGAACAAAAATCTAAAGGAGGCTTACTCCGCAATTGTAACGACAGAAATATCAGATCACCATGCGTTATTTGCCAGTGTAGATGAAACAAATAAGAATGAAAAGCAAGACATTCAAAACAACAATAAATATAAAATCAATACCTACAATGTTAATAGGCAAATAAGAAATATTAATTGGGAAGAAATTATAATCATATCTAATAATGCAAATGATCTTTTTAATAATATATACAGAACGTTTAACAAGATATATGAAAATTCAACAATAGAACACTCAAAAAAGAAAAACCGCAATGGTCTCCCATGGATGAATGAATACATACTTAATTCTTGTGCTATTAGAGACAAGTTGTACAAAAAGTGGGCTAAAAATAAACTCAACAAAACCAACGAAATTGTTTATAAAAATTTTAATAACAAACTAAATAAACTTATAAGTAAAGCCAAAAACGATCATATATATCATCAGTTTATTAGAAATAAACACAATATGCGTGGAACATGGCAGGTTATAAATAATGTTATTGGAAAGAAAACAACAAATATAGATGATCATATCAAGCTTAGCTTTAACATGAAAAATATTAAAGAAATATCCGATAATTTTGCGTCAAACTTTAGCCAAAATGTATTAAATATAGTTCATCAGTGCAATATAATAACATTGAATATACGTACGGAAAGAGTCATACAAAACTCAATGTTCATGGAAAATGCTACACTGAGGGAAAAATCCCGTTGCGAAATCAAGCACGTATGTTGTCATTTTCGCAACGACCCGTTGTTATATTTTTCAACAACGGCTGTTGGTGAATTGTGCACGAACGTGCTCAAATTGACACCGAGACGTGGTCAACTTTCGGTACCAACAACAGCCGTGCTTAATTTGTCCATTTGTAATATTGGTAATTGCAGCCGATTACACACGAGTAAAAAATGACAACGGTGGTGCATGATTCACACACGGTCGTTGTCAATATGACACCGGTCGTGTATGAATTATGCACCACCACCTGCATAATGATGCACCACCGTTGTTACTTTGTACACCGACGTGCATGAATCGTACACGATCGTTGCCATTTTAGCAACTACCGTGTATGAATCATGCACCACCGTTGTCATTTTTTTTACTCGTGTGCAATCGGCTGCATATTTACCATTTTTTCCGTGTTATTGAAAGAGAAAGGACGCATTGTGCAAAAAATTTATTGAAAATGAATAATAATTCGCAAGATCCTCAAAATATCATTGGTGAGTTGTTAGAAATCGATGGCAATATTGTTGTGGTTCGCGATACAAACCATTGCAGCAGTCAAGATGCGGAAAACAATGAGGACGATTATATGTTAAGGGAGTTCTTAAAAGGAATAAATATGGAGTCGCTTTTTAAACAATTAAAAGGTAAGTAAATAAAAATGAATTTTTCAGTTAATCAGTGTAATTAACAAAGAATTTTCTTTTTTGTTCTTTTAGCATCACATGTAACATTTCGCAGTTTGCAGTACTTGAAAAAAGAAGATTTAAAGGAAGCAGTGCCACCATTGGGACTGCGAGTTGAATTCAGAGAAAAGCTCTTTGCTTGGAAAAAACGAAAGGTACGTATTATTTGTTTTACAGTGTTGAACTCAGTATTAATATTGTCATAACAATAGCTCGGGATTGATGACGAAACTATGTCAGTTCCATCTAAAATAGGTGAATGGTGGAAACGCAACGAGACACCTGCAAGTACTCCTGGTACTCCCGACACTACAGGTTCGAACTGCTCAAAAGCCAAAGGAATTTTGTCAGAGGTAAGGTAAGAGTAATATTTGTGTAAGCATAGTTAATGTAGTTTTTTTATTTAATATAGGATCTAACGGAATTGTTAACACATACCTCGAAGGGGAAACTAGCGCTTGAATGTAGTAGCGTTAATAAGAAATTAAGTGACGAGCAAAGAGATGATATAATTAATATAATTATTGAAGATATTTTAACCAACAATGTTACTCTTTACACTCAAGACTATATGCGCATATTGGATGAAATTTGTTCCGTTTTTCCTCTTGAAAACGAAATGAGGGTAAGATTAACAATATAAACAACGTATCTGATTATGTAGTTTCTTAACTTATAATATGTCTTTATTTTTAGGATTATTATTACATTTCAAGAAAAGGAAAGAACAACGCAAGCGGAAAACTTTATGCCAAGTATAGAAACAAGAAGTCCAAAAGAATAAAGCTTTTGATTTCCGAGCCTAGCACAAGCAAAGCAGCAACTCACACATCTCCTAATTTTTGTAACAAAGATGTTCCCGAAATTGATGAATCAGTTGAAAATTCATTGAAAGCTTCCTTACTAAGAGAATGTAATGATTGGGGATCGATCTGCGAAAAATGGAAAAGATCTTTTAACATACGGCAAAGAGATATAAAAAATTTAAGTAGCCATACATTTCTCCTTGAATGGACGAAGTTGTCCGATGCAAGAGCTTCAGAATTGGTAAGTAGCCATGAGCTATTTATTTGTATATGGATACTAATGTTTCGTTTTAGGTCAACATTGATTTCGATATTATGTATCCACAGAAAGGCAATCTTCTACTTTCTAAATGGGACCAATTTAAGAAAAAAATTTACAATTATTATGGGAAAAATATTCATAACGAACATTGCAAACAACTCTTCGCAAATGTTTTGACGGCAAGCAGCATAGGTAAATTTTAATTCCTGATTTATCATAAACATTAAAAGTAATATTTATTTTATATTTCGGTTGCAGATGCTCAAGATTATATATACGCAATACCAAAATTGCAAAGTGTCTGATGACATTTTTTTTAAGGGAACTAGGTATAAAAAAAACTATTATTTAGCAACAAATAATGCCGCAATTGAACTTTTCAAAATTAAACATTTAATAATTGAAAATGAAAATGTTTACATTTTATGTAACCAAGTAAAAGTTAAAAACTTTGATTACCATTTACAATCGTATGAAGTTGGTTCTCTGAATGAGGATACAATTTTTTTAATACCAATTTTAGATTTTATTACTTACCCATTTCACTTATATCCTATGAATAATGGAAAAGTTTATTTCAGATTTAAGTTAATTTAATTTGTTTCTATACATTGAATATATGTAATTCGAATTGTTTTGTTAAATCAAATATGTATTTATATTGAATTTATGTAATTGGTTTCGTTCAATAAAATACTTTTCAAAAAATGTCGTTTCTTCTACTAAGGGTATAAAATGGAAAAGGAACGGATATCAAAAAATGACCACCATTGATTTCAATCTGACAACGGGCGTTGACAATCCGACAACGGAGCGTTGACAATCTGACAACGAAGCGTTGACGATCTGACAACGAAGCGTTGACAATCTGACAACGGGGCGTGCTCGAAATGACCACGTATGTGCTCATTTCATGCACATCTGTTGTTGAAATCGTTGCCAAAATCTCGGTGTCAAAATGACAACAGCGTGCTCATTTTGACACCAAACGTGGTTGATACACTATCATACACGGATGTGGTCATTTCATACACGGATGTTGTCATTTTTTCTCTGGGTGTACGGAGTTTGAGATTAATGGAATATTAAAAACGCTAAATACGAATAAATCTGCGGGCATTGATAATATTAGACCCATTGACATTAAAAATAATGCTTCTCTTCTCACCCCCATAATAACAAATTTAATAAACCAAAGCATATCTGAAGCGTCGATACCCCAGATACTCAAACAATCACTTATCAGACCCATATACAAAGGAGGAAGTAAGGCAGATTACGCAAACTATAGACCGATATCAATCCTTCCTATATTAGAAAAAGTTCTGGAAGAGGTTATAGTGCGAAGACTGAACAGCTTCTTAACCAAATATAAAATAATAAATAGAAACCAATATGGCTTCCAAAAAAACAAGAATATCAATCAACTCCTAGGCCACTTTTCAAACCATATAAATAAAAACTTAAGTCAACAAAAACAATGCATCGCTCTTTTCATAGATTTCAGTAAAGCCTTCGACACTTTGTCGCATGAAAAAATAGTAAATGTGCTAGAAAAAACTGGAATAAGAGGCAGATGTTTGAAATGGTTTCAAGACTATCTCACATACAGGTCGTTTAGAGTCAGAATTGATAACACAAACAGCTATGAACTTCCAACACAATACGGTGTTCCACAGGGATCAAAATTGGGTCCAATATTATATTTAATATATTCCAATGAAATGACGCTCAATCTACACAACAGTTCTTCGTACACATACGCTGATGATACTGCAATAATTGTATCACATTCGGATATAAATGAGGCAACGTCAACAATGCAGCAGGAATTTAATATAATAACGAAATGGTGCCACGATTACGGCTTGATTATAAACCCAAATAAAACTAAGATTCTGCATATCAGACCTAAAAGTTCTCCCAAACACAATATTCGGATCATATTTCATGATAATGAATGCATACACGGAAACACATTAACGAGAAATCAAGAAAAATGTACCATGAATTTAGAAATCGTTGAAAATTATAAGTACTTGGGAATTTATTTGGATCAACACTTTAAATGGAAAGATCACATCGAAAAACTACAGAAAAAGTTAAGAAAATCAGCGTTTGCGCTTTATCATCTAGGCAACTATGCACCCTTCTTTATATTGAAGCAAGCATACTATTCCCTAGTAGAATCGCATTTACGACATGGCATTACAGCATGGGGAAATGCCAGATGCTGTAGAATGTTACAAGAAACACAGAACCGAATTGTTAAATATCTACATAAAAAATCATACCATTCGTACAATAACGGAAATGTAACAGTGTCAACCAACAACATAAGCCAGATATACAAAAACCTAGAAATCCTTAATATAAAACAAATATTTTCAATTGCAATTGTAGGTGAATTCGCTGACGACCGAAACCTAGCTGAGAAAATTAACCACGAACAAAGTACCCGGAGAAGACTTGAAGGACGTTACAAAATACCGAAATTTAAAAACGAATATGGAAAGCTCGCTCTAGATGTCGCTCTACCAAGCACCCTTAATGAACTTCCAAAGGAGATTCCAGAAATTAAAGATAAAATATGTAGAATAAAAAACATTAAAAAATATTATTTGCAAACGTAATGTAGTACTAAAAAATGAAGTCTATAGCAATGGATAATATTAAATCTGTATATATATATATTTATAAATACTATTTACAGACAAGCCGTTTACAGGCTTCGTAAAATAATGTAATTATGATATATTAATGAAAAAAATAAAGAAAGTACTATAAAAAAAAAAAAAAAAAAAAAAAAAGAAGAGCTTGAGCTCTTCTATAGACCCTAGAAGAGCTAGAGCTCTTCTATAGACCCTAGAAGAGCTAGAGCTCTTCTATAGACCCTAGAAGAGCTGGAGCTCTTCTATAGTCCATAGAAGAGCTGGAGCTCTTCTATAGTCCATAGAAGAGCTGGAGCTCTTCTATAGTCCATAGAAGAGCTAGAGCTCATCTATAGTCCCTAGAAGAGCTAGAGCTCATCTATAGTCGCTAGGACAGCCTGAGCTCATCTATAGTCCCTAGAAGAGCCAGAGATCTTCTATAGTCCCTAGAGGAGCTGGATCTCTTCTATAGTCCCTAAAAGAGCTAGAGCTCTTCTATAGTCCCTAAAAGAGCTAGAGCTCTTCTATAGTCCCTAGAGGAGCTAGAGCTCTTTTATAGCCCCTTAGAAGAGCTGGAGCTCTTCTATAGTCCCTTAGAAGAGCTGAAGCTCTTCTATAGTCCCTAGAGGAGCTGAAGCTCTTCTATAGTCCCTAGAAGAGCTGAAGCTCTTCTATAGTCCCTAGAAGAGCTGAAGCTCTTCTATAGTCCCTAGAAGAGCTGAAGCTCTTCTATAGTCCCTAGAAGAGCTGAAGCTCTTCTATAGTCCCTAGAAGAGCTGGAGCTCTTCTATAGTCCCTAGAAGAGTTGGAGCTCTTCTATAGTCCCTAGAAGAGTTGGAGCTCTTCTATAGTCCCTAGAAGAGCTGGAGCTCTTCTATAGTCCCAAGAAGAGTTGGAGCTCTTCTATAGTCCCTAGAAGAGCTGGAGCTCTTCTATAGTCCCTAGAAGAGCTGGAGCTCTTCTATAGTCCCTAGAAGAGCTGGAGCTCTTCTATAGTCCCTAGAAGAGCTAGAGCTCTTCTATAGTCCCTAGAAGAGCTAGAGCTCTTCTATAGTCCCTAGAAGAGCTAGAGCTCTTCTATAGTCCCTAGAAGAGCTGGAGCTCTTCTATGGTCCCTAGAAGAGCTAGAGCTCTTCTATAGTCCCTAGAAGAGCTAGAGCTCTTCTATAGTCCATTGATGAGCTGGAGCTCTTCTATAGTCCATTGATGAGCTGGAGCTCTTCTATAGTCCATTGATGAGCTGGAGCTCTTCTATAGTCCATTGATGAGCTGGAGCTCTTCTATAATCCATTGATGAGCTGGAGCTCTTCTATAGTCCATTGATGAGCTGGAGCTCTTCTATAGTCCCTAGAAGAGCTAGAGCTCTTCTATAGTCCCTAGAAGAGCTAGAGCTCTTCTATACGGCCTAGAAGAGCTAGAGCTCTTCTATACGGCCTAGAAGAGCTAGAGCTCTTCTATACGGCCTAGAAGAGCTAGAGCTCTTCTATACGGCCTAGAAGGGCTAGAGCTCTTCTATAGTCCCTAGAAGAGCTAGAGCTCTTCTATAGTCCCTAGAAGAGCTAGAGCTCTTCTATAGTCCCTAGAAGAGCTAGAGCTCTTCTATAGTCCATAAATGAGCTGGAGCTCTTCTCTAGTCCATTGATGAGCTGGAGCTCTTCTATAGTCCCTAGAAGAGCTCGAGCTCATCTATAGTCCCTAGAAGAGCTCGAGCTCATCTATAGTCCCTAGAAGAGCCAGAGATCTTCTATAGTCCCTAGAGGAGCTGGAGCTCTTCTATAGTCCCTAGAAGAGCTAGAGCTCTTCTATAGTCCCTAGAAGAGCTAGAGCTCTTCTATAGTCCCTAGAAGAGCTAGAGCTCTTCTATAGTCCCTAGAAGAGCTAGAGCTCTTCTATAGTCCCTAGAAGAGCTAGAGCTCTTCTATAGTCCCTAGAAGAGCTAGAGCTCTTCTATAGTCCCTAGAAGAGCTAGAGCTCTTCTATAGTCCCTAGAAGAGATAGAGCTCTTCTGTAGTCCCTAGAAGAGCTAGAGCTCTTCTATAGTCCCTAGAAGAGCTAGAGCTCTTCTATAGTCCCTAGAAGAGCTTGAGCTCTTCTATAGTCCCTAGAAGAGCTAGAGCTCTTCTATAGTCCCTAGAAGAGCTAGAGCTCTTCTATAGTCCCTAGAAGAGCTAGAGCTCTTCTATAGTCCCTAGAAGAGCTAGAGCTCTTCTATAGTCCCTAGAAGAGCTAGAGCTCTTCTATAGTCCCTAGAAGAGCTAGAGCTCTTCTATAGTCCATAGATGAGCTAGAGCTTTTCTATAGTCCCTAGAAGAGCTTTCCATTACGTTAAACGTTTTTGCATTAATCTGAGTGCGTTCCCTGTCGTCTAAATCCATTCATGCATTCATTTATCTATCCATCCACTCTCCCAGCTATTCATGCACTCACTCACACATCCATAACTGTTATTGTCCATAATATCCATTTAAAAAAAGAGTAGTCATTTAATAAAGTGCACTTTCCCTTTTTTGTTGCTATCTATCTCTACATCATCATCTATCCAGAGCACTTTCTCTCGGCAAAAGCTCCCCTTCCACCCGCCAAAACGTAAAACAAATAAAATGGGGCAAATGGGTGACTGGCCAGGACTTCAGTCTTTGAAAGTAGTCACCAACCAACCAACGATCCACTTCGACACTTCAAACTCTGCTCCCCTCCAATAATTTAATATTTATGAATTTGATGGTGTCACACAAAGGCAAGTCTTTTTTTGCGTGTATGTGTGTGTGTGTGGTGCTGTTTGTTGTTATTGTTGTGTTGGTTGTCTGCCTGAGAGGCTGGCTGACCAACTTTTTCTCCCCAAGTTTGTGAATTACACACAGTTTATTTTTCATAAATAGTAAAGTGCTGAACTACTTAGCCGGCAGTTAAGTGAAGAGGAAGGGATATTGACAGGATTAAAGGATTAAATTGGGGACATTAGGCTGATTTCAGAAAACAAAGAAAGTCAAAATGGATGTCATGAAACGGTTGAAAAGCGTTTGAGGAAATGAAACTTTCAAAGTAGCTTGGGGATGGATATCTAGGCCCCTTCGGTGGGTATAGATTCTTCTCCAAGTTTCTGGGAGGATTACTTTCTATGGAATACGTCCTAAAAATTTCAGAAGAAGAAAATCAAGTTCAAAAATAGAACATCCGACATTTGAATCTTTAGGCTCTGGGCATAACATTTCCAGCCTTTTATGGTAGAGTCCTTAACGCATAAGGAAGCAATCTTCTAACAAGGAAGCCAAAAAAAAAACTGAAAAAACAATCAGCAAACTTCGAGAATCGAATGCTCAATGTATGGGGGAGGATTCTCAAGGTATTGATTTCTCAGCTATTGTGAAGATACAAATAAATATATTAAAAAAAAAAAAAAAACATCGAACTTTTGGATCATTCGGATTTGGGAATAGCATTTCCAGACTTTTGGGTATATTCCTTAGGATAGGGAACTTGGTAGAAATTCTCAGTATTTGAAAATGGATTATCTGTGACCCTTTGTGGGAGACGTACCAGAAGGAATGGTCCTATATCTGCCACCTTTATAACAGATCTTGTGTTGAAGGAGATATTAGGATATATGATGTGAATTGAATCGGATGTTAATTTCGCGTTTTATGAGCTTCATGTGTATTCAAAATTTTGACCTCTTGTGCGGAAGGTACCAGAAGGAGTGGACCAATATTTCCCATTTTCACAGCAAATCTTTTGTTAGTGAAAATAATGGAATGACTGAAGTATGAAGAGAACCGGATGCTTATTTCGGATTTTATAATAGTTTTGGTTATTCAAAACTTTGACCCTTTGTGGGGGAGGTACCAGAAAAAAGTCCGATCCTTCCCATCTTTATAAGAGATCTTGTGCTGACGGAAATATTGAAATATACCAAGTCTGAATTGAATCGGATGTTAATTTCGCGTTTTATGATCTTCATGGGTGTTCAAAATTTTGACCCTTTGTGGGGGAGATACCAGAAGGAGTGGGCCGGTATATTCCATCTTCACACCAGACACTGGGTTAATGAAAATATTGTGATGTGTTTAATTTGAAGGCAATCGGACCCTTACATCACATTTTATAAGAGTTATATTTAGTAAAAATGTTGACCCTTTGTGGGGAAGATACTGGATGGAGTAGACCGATATTGTCCATTTTCGTACCTGACCTAGCACAGATGCAAATATTAGGATTTGCAAAGTTGGAGCAAAATAGGATTGTGCTTTCTCTTTCTGTGCAGTAAATTATTTTCTTTGAAAATTTGGACCTTTTGTGGGGGGAGGTACCAGAAGGAGTGGATTGATATTGCCCATCTCCGATCTCGATCTAAGTTTGACAATAATACTACGATGTACCAAGTGTGGATCAAATCGGATACTCCTTTCGAGAGTTATCGTGCGCACCAGTCAGACAGACGGACGGACATCGCTAGATCGACTCAAAATGTCCTGAAACGGATTTGGTCCAAAGAGACCCTAGGTCTAAAACCATTATTTCGATGGGCCACGTTTTGGTCCTATCAAATTATATTACCCTCTCTAGCCATATGACTGAGGGTATAAAAATTGATAGCACCTTGGAGAATTTGTTGATGTCTTTGGGAGAGGATTTTCAAGAATTGATTTATTTTCCCTTCCGGGAATAAATGTCCTTCATTTTGGGGAACAACCATTTGCAACTTAGGTAAGGGACATGGTGTTCTCATTCCTTGAAGATGGATGGATTTTTCAGACTTTGCAGATGGACTCTCAGGCAATAAATTCCTCATCAACTGAAATTGAAATTATAACCCAAAACCTGTGAAGATACAAAGATTTTTAAAAAATCTTAAGGTTGAATATTTAGTGTCTGAGAATACATTTCCATCAAGTTATAAATTTCAGATTTTAAAAAAAAGTATCCCAAGACTTTAATGTTAGTCAAAACTCTCCAAAATTGACATCCCTCATCTTAGGATACTCAATTGCCATGGATGCATAGAATTCCTCATCTCATCAGGATATATTCCTTGTTCAATGAGCTAAAAAAATTTCCATGCTCTAAAGAGAGATTCCTTATGAGAATAGAGTGCTCATCCAAATAGAATCGATTCCAAATCCATTCGAATATAATCTCCATCATCTGATGATGTAAGCCCCATTCGAAAAAAACTAATTTTGCAATTAGAATGGTTTCCTTATACCTAGTGGGAAAATTCTTCGCCCTACTAGTATAGGTACCGCATCCTCTAAGGATGAACTGTTAAAGATAATCGATTGATTTGGAAGCATCTTATCAGAATATATTACTCGTTCAAGATTTGAAACGCCATGCACTACAGGGAGAATCCTCATGAGAATAAAGTGCTCATCAAAATAGAACTGTTGCCAAATCCTTTTTGGATAAATTATTTGCCCAATATGGATATAATCTCCTTCCACTGACGACGTGATCCCAATTCGAATAAAGTAATCATCCAATAGTAGTCTTCATCTCATGAGGAGGGATTCTTCTCGTAACGAATAAAGTCTCCCCATCATCTAGGGTCAAAACTTCTCATCCTCTAAGAATAAATCCTATTAGGATAAAATCTCCATTCCCTGACGATAAAGCAATCATCAAATTGCTATAGGTCATCCTCCCATAAGCAGAAATTTTTCGCTTTACGAATATAGTCTCCCCATCCTTTATGGTCAGAACTTCTCATCCTTTAAGGATACATGTCCCATAAGGCTCTAATACTTTTTCTACAAAAGTTATTTGATTAAATATTTAACAATTAAATTATCAATTTCCAAACTCACCTTTGCTGCCTTTTAATATACTATTGAGATTATGTTGACTATTTGAGCTGGTATTCCCAAATCCATTAACCATCATTGGCTGGCTGGGATAGTTGTGGGAATGATGATGTTGGAGCGGCTGCTGCTGTTGCTGCTGATATTGATTATTGTTATTGTTGTTCATTGAAGATGAAGATTGACTATGGATGTTGGCGCCAGTACCACCTGCTCCTCCCCCTCCCACTCCTCCACCACCACCGTTATTGGTAACATCCTCCCGGGAAGCATGTAATTGCTGTTGCTGCTGCTGCTGTTTCTTGGCAAAAGCGGAAGTAAGACCAGAAGGACCACTTAGAAGACTATTCGCCGATGATGGTGAGGAGGAAGAGGTATGGCCACCATCCGTTTTGCCAACAGCAACCGGAGATGAGGAGGATGACGTAGTTGTTGGTGTTGTTGCCGTTGAGGCAAGATGTTGGTAGGGGCCTGCAGGAGGCTTATGGTTGGGATGGGGTAGTGCCGGTGGTGGAGGCTGATTTGAATTACCGTTGTTGTAATTTGAATTGTTGGTCAGGTGGTTGTTGTTGTTGTTCTGGCCACCAGCACCACCACCATTGGTCACTGTGGCATTTTCTAAATTTGAATTTCCGTTAAATGTGGCCAAACCCGTTGCAGCAGCCGTAGCATGGTATGGCTGCTGCTGCTGCTGCTGCTGAGAATTGCCCACGGCAGGAGGCGGTTGATAATAGTTATTATGTTGTAGTTGTTGTTGCTGCTGCTGCTGCTGATGGTGGTGCTGTGGATGTTTTTGTACGGTTGTATAGAAATCTTCTGGATTTTTGGGAAGAAGATTCGTCACTGCCGGGGAGCCAGACACAGATGATGCTGATGATGACGACAGAGGCGGCAGTGACGATGTCGTTGTTGCTGTCGGCGTGTTTGGATTCATGCTGTTGCCTGTGGAATAATTACATGTTCCAGATATTGCATTCATGTTGGCGTTGTTGCTGTTGTTGTTTTGTTGCAGTATAATTGTTGTTGTAATATGTTGGAATGTCTAGCTGCTGCTGTTGCTGACCCTTTAACAGACCGTGTTGCAATTTCGCAACTGACAATTATGATGATGATGATGATGACTTTCCGTTGTCAATGTTGTTGTCTTGCTGATATCACAGTTGTTGTTGTGCCTGCTGTTGCTGCTGCTGCTGCATTTACCGTTGCTGGACTGAATGGCAGAATTTCTTACAGCCAATCGTAAAGACATTTTCGCCAAGCTGCAATCCACCAGATGTCATTATGGCAATGACAATGTATTATTACAAGCCAACAGGGAAAAGAGGGAGGGAGAGAGAACGAGAGAGACCATACATATCTCCAGATATTTCTTGGAATTCTTGGAATGTTTTGTTTATTCTTTCCTCAGAACAAGGCAAACAAGTGGAACGGGGTTTATGGCAGTCACTTTTTCTGGCAAATTTGAAATTGTTGTTGTCTTATTTTTTTTTTTTTTTTTAGAAAATATTTCAAATATTTATTCTTTACATTTCCGTTGTAGCATCACAGGAGAATATAAAAATCTGGAAAAAAATACAAGAAAAAAATATTTTATTATTAAAAACGAAAACAAAACAAAAAATTTAAAAAATTGAAAATGACAAAATAATTTAATTTTTAAAGAAAAGTCAAAAGTCGGACGGCTATGTGGCAGCCTACAACATACTATGTATATTTAGTAGAGCTCATACCACCAATCAACATTTGGCTTTAGAGCAGCTATAATTTGGTTTCAGAGGGAACTAATAAATGGGAGGCAGATATGAATATGGGAGCTATAGCTATATCTGAACCGATTTTCACCAAATTGATTTACTTGCTTCTATACTGCATTCGGTCGGATATACTAAAATTCAGGTCATTTGGAGTGATATTGGCCATTTGGTGCACAATTACCCCAAAATCGGGTGAAGATAAGTATATATGGGAGGTATATCCAAATCTGAACCGATCTTGATAAAATTCGGCAGGGGTATTTCAGGGCTATATTTGATATCTAGTGCCAGATATCATTCTTGTGGAGTACATATTACGCTTGTGAGGTACTTTAAACCCCATATCGGAAGAAACATATATATGGGAGCTATAGCTATATCTGAACCGATTTCCACCAAAATTGATATACTTGCTTCTATACTGCATTCGGTCGGATGTGCCAAAATTCAAGTCATTTGGCCTATTATTAGCCATTTGGTGCACAATTCGCCCGAAATCGGTTGAAGATATATATGGGAGATATATCCAAATCTGAACCGATCTTGATAAGATTTGGCAGAAGTATTTCTGGGCTGCATCTGATATCTGTGTACCAAATATCATTCTTGTGGAGTGCATATTATGCTTGTGAGGTACTTAAAACCCCAAATCGGATGAAACATATATATGGGAGCTATGGCCATATCTGAACCGATTTCCCCGAAATTTGATATACTTGCTTCTATACTACATTCGGTCAGATATGCCAAAACTCAGATCATTTGGCCTGTTATTAGCCACTTGGTGCACAATTTGCCCGAAATCGTTTGAATATATATATGGGAGCTATATCCAAATCTGAACCGATCTTGATAAAATTTGGCGGAGGTATTTCAAGGCTATTTCTGATATCTGTGTTCCAAATATCATTCTTGTGGAGTACATATTACGCTTGTGAGGTACTTTAAACCCCAAATCGGATGAAACATATATATGGGAGCTATAGCTATATCTGAACCGATTTTTACCAAATTTGATGTACTTGCTTCTAGACTGGATTCGGTCGGATGTGCCAAAATTCAGGTCATTTGGACTGATATTGACCATTTGGTGCACAATTTGACCGAAATCGGTTGAATATATATATGGGAGCTATATCCAAATCTGAACCGATTCTCAACAATTTTTGTAGGGTTTGTCCTTGGGGCAAACAAATATTGTCTGGAAAATTTCATCTTAATCGGATAATAAAGGCGAACTGCATTTTGTTCAGAAGAATACATGGACAGACATGACATGGACAGACGGACTGACATGCATAAATCGACTCAGAAAGTGATTCTATGAAGATCCTCTCGTCTATCTATCTCGTTTCCTTCTCCATGTTACAAACAAATGCACGGAGACATAATACCCTTACCGCTATGTGGTGTATGATATAAAAACATAAAAAAATTTGTCCCCAGAATTTATTCAACAGGTCTTCCAAATAATGGACCCTTTTTGTGGGGGAGGTTCCAGATTTCTACCATCTTCACACCAGATCTTGTGTTGATAGAAATATTGGGTTGTTTTAAATTTGAAACGAATCGGAAGATCATCTCGCATTTTATTGGCGTTTTTGTTATTCAAAATTTTAACCACTTTGTGGGGGAGGTATCAGAAGGAGTGGACTGATTTCTACCATCTTTACACCACCAGATCTTGTGTTGATAGAAATATTTCAATTTGCGCAATTTGAAAATAATCGGATGTTTAATTCGAATTTTGCAAGCGTTTGGGTCTTTCAAAATTTTGTCCTCTTTGTGGGGGAGGTACCAGAAATAGTGGGTTGATTTCTACCATCTTTACACCAGATCTTGTGTTGATAGAAATATGACAATTTGACAAATTTGAAAAGGATCAGACGTTTAGATGGAATTTTACGAGCGTTTTGGTTACTAAAAAAATGTGACCCCCTTGTGGGGGAGGTACCAGAAATAGTGGGTTGATTTCTACCATCTTAACACCAGATCTTGTGTTCATAGAAATATTACAATATGTCAAGTTTGATAAGAATCGGATGCTAATTTCGCATTTTCTGAGCGTTCTGGTTTTTCAGAATTCTGAACCCTTTAAGGGGAGGGTATCAGAAGGAGTGGACCGATATCTACCATCTTCACATCAGATCTTGTCTTTGAAGAAATATTTCAATTTGCGCAATTTGAAAATGATCGGATGTTTAATTCACATTTTATTGGCGTTTTTGTTATTCAAAATTTTGTCCTCTTTGTGGGGGAGGTACCAGAAGGAGTGGACCGATATCTACCATCTTCACATCAGATCTTGTGTTGAAAGAAATATGACAATTTGACAAATTTAAAAAGGATCGGATGTTTCGTTGAAATTTTACAAGCGTTTTGGTTACTAAAAAATTTGACCCCCTTGTGGGGGAGGTACCAGAAATAGTGGGTTGATTTCTACCATCTTCACACCAGATCTTGTGTTCATAGAAATATTACAATATGACATGTTTGATAAGAATCGGATGCTAATTTCGCATTTTGTGAGCGTTTTGGTTTTTCAGAATTCTGAACCCTTTAAGGGGCGGGTACCAGAAGGAGTGGACCGATATCTACCATCTTCACATCAGATCTTGTGTTGATAGAAATATTTCAATTTGCGCAATTTGAAAATGATCGGATGTTTAATTCGCATTTTATTGGCGTTTTTGTTATTCAAAATTTTGTCCTCTTTGTGGGGGAGGTACCAGAAGGAGTGGACCGATATCTACCATCTTCACATCAGATCTTGTGTTGAAAGAAATATGACAATTTGACAAATTTAAAAAGGATCGGATGTTTCGTTGAAATTTTACAAGCGTTTTGGTTACTAAAAAATTTGACCCCCTTGTGGGGGAGGTACCAGAAATAGTGGGTTGATTTCTACCATCTTCACACCAGATCTTGTGTTCATAGAAATATTACAATATGTCATGTTTGATAAGAATCGGATGCTAATTTCGCATTTTGTGAGCGTTTTGGTTTTTCAGAATTCTGAACCCTTTGTGGGGGAGGGTACCAGAAGGAGTGCACCGATATCTACCATCTTCACATCAGATCTTGTGTTGATAGAAATATTTCAATTTGCGCAATTTGAAAATGATCGGATGTTTAATTCGCATTTTATTGGCGTTTTGGTTATTAAAAATTTTGTCCTCTTTGTGGGGGAGGTACCAGAAAGAGTGGTTCCCCATATCTCAACTTCACACCATATCTTGTGTTGATAGAAATGTTGATATGTTTGATGTTTGAAAAGGATCGGAAGCTTATTTCGCATTTTATTTGCCTTTTGGTTATTCAAAATTGTGACCCCTTTGTGGGGGAGGTACCAGAAATGGTGGGGCAATATCTACCATATTCATATCAAATTTTGTGTTGATGGAAACATTACAAATTGCGCAACTTGAAAATGATCGGATGTTTAATTCGCATTTTATTAGCGTTTTGGTTATTCAAAATGTTGTCATCTTTGTGGGGGAGGTACCAGAAAGTGGGGTTCCCCATATCTCAACTTCACGCCATATCTTGTGTTGATAGAAATATTGATATGTTTGAAGTTTGAAAAGGATCGGAAGCTTATTTCGCATTTTATTTGCCTTTTGGTTATTCAAAATTTTGACCCCTTTGTGGGGGAGGTACCAGAAATGGTGGGGCAATATCTACCCTATTCATATCAAATTTTGTGTTGATGGAAACATTACAAATTGCGCAACTTGAAAATGATCGGATGTTTAATTCGCATTTTATTAGCGTTTGGGTCTTTCAAAATTTTGACCCCTTTGTGGGGGAGGCGTCAGAAGGAGTTGTTCCCTATATCCCAACTTCACACCATATTTTGAGTTGATCAAAATATTGGGATGTTTGAAATTTGAAGAGAATCGGATGCTTATAACCCATTTTATGAACGTTTTTGGTTTTCAAAATTTTGACCCCTTTGTAGGGGAGGTACCAGAAATGGTGGGACAATATCTACCATCTTCACATCAAATCTTGTGTTGATGGAAACATTACAAATTGCGCAACTTAAAAATGATCGGATGTTTAATTCGCATTTTATTGTCGTTTTGGTTATTCAAAATTTTTTGAAATTTGGGCAAATTTCTACCATCTCCACACCAGACCTTGTGTTAGTAGAAATATTCCCATGTGTGAAGTTTGAAGAGAATCGCAAGCTTGTTTCACATTTTATTGGCTATTTGGTTATTCAAAATTTTGACCCGTTTGAGGAAGTACAAGAAAGAATGGTTCGCTATATTCGATTTTTCGAAGAGAACAGCGTCTTCCTCTAAAAAAAATTCTCCACATAACTCTCCTTCCATAATCAGAAGACAAAAAAGTATGGTTATCTCCTCCAGATGTGGTTGCCCAAATGATTTTGCATGGAAATGCTCAGAAATTCGCTCTGTCGGTATTTAGGTTGGCATTTCAGACGTTTTTTTTTTTTTTTTTTGCATTTCATTCATAAAACGTAAAACCCCCTCCGTGCAGCATCATCACCACCATCTCCACACATTTGTCGTTTTTACGAGCCATGGAAAAAAATGTAGAAAAAGGCGTAACTCGGTGTCTCTATTTGCCGCCATAGCTGCCAAGAAGGCCTCATTTCCTTCCATAAACAAATTGCAAACTTTCATAAATGCCCATATTTTTGTATAGACAACACACACACACACAAATTCTTGCACTCGAACACACAATGTGCCACGCCAGTGCCGCCACAGCCACCATCATTTCATACTCATCATCATCAGCTGCAGCAACGCCATCAGCTCTTGAGCTCTTTGGGC